GAGCTCGCAAGCGAAGCGAGCGCGCGAGAACGAACGCGAAGCGCTTCTATTTTCTTCTTCCTCCACCACTACCCCCTTGCACTGGCGGTCAATAAATCCCCTGCGGTTTATATTTTATTACCCGCGCTTGACGGACTTTGAAGAGAAAATAGAAGGTCTGTGAACAGGCTCCGAAAAATTCTCTCTTCACACCACTTGCTTGAAAAATCGTTTTTCAGCAAGATCAGTATAGGAGCGAGTGAGCGCATCAAGAAAAGTACTCACGCAGTTTCACCTAGTAGAAAAATCAACTTATTTCACACAAAAGATGCACTTACCAAAGCCAAACGTAAAGGACTTTCATGTTAAGTCAAAGAAGCCACAATTATCCACAAGTTTGACGAGAATAAAAAGCGCGTGATTAATCAGTGTCAGCACACGGGCTCCCGTAGCCAAATGCGGTGCCCTATGGCCTAATAGGCTGCTTTACATTACGTGGCGCAAGTTAAATTGAATTATGATGATGAAAGCGGTAGAGAACCGAACAATGCGCGTGTGTTCAAGCGGGAGGGGAGGAGAGACTGAAACACCCGGGAGGTGAAAAAAAAAAAAAAAAAAAAAAATTTTGTCAATTATTCCTTTCTTCTGTTCAATTATTCCTCCAGTGATCCCTTATCCTAAAAAATCCTCTGACAAGGCTTCATAAGTAAGAGATCAAGCCATTCTTAAGCAAAAATCGGAGTTAGTCTATTTTCTGCAAAAAAGGTCTATGAAACAGTGAGTAGTTGCAAAATGTTAAATTTTTAACATATTCCACAACTCAGTGAACAAAGTCAGTTTACATTGGGGCAGGTAGATAACGCTTCACTCGGGAAGACAACAGTGCAATTGTAACATGACTTTATCCGCTGAGTAAATAACGTTGTACATTTGAGCGAGACGTTCGAACTTCTTTAAATCAGTTGTGGATCATCTCAAGGAGTGGGTAAGTTTTGATTAATCTTATACCACAGTTTTCGGAATTTTTCAAATCAACGAAAATTATCGAGCTTCGGAAAGTAATGTTGTTTTGCTCACGACTTTATTCAGTTTACTGATCAAAATAAAATCTGAACAACAAAATTAACACATCTAACATTACTGCATGTAGTAATTTAGTCAATTAACTGGTTGACAGAATTTTTTATTTTTTCAGTTTGTAACTTATGATTTCTGAAATAACGACTACTAGGCTTTAAGGGCCATTATTATCTGACTACAATTAAGTACGCGCGTTCCAGATTTCTCTGTAATGACCTCATGCATTCTCGGTTAATAAGTAGTATTTACTGCTTTTACTCAGAAAACGAGAAAGGCAATAAAGATTAGGGGAAAAAAGGAAAACCACGACAATTCCAACGGTTACGGTAGAAGTAGTAGGTTATTTTCGAGAAAAATATGTTTTTCTCGGTTTTCACCTGACGTCACCAAAATTCAAACTAAGAAACTATATTGAATAGATTCTTCTAAAGTTCTACATTCATGAAGAATTACAGCACCTAAAGACCTTTACGTGAAAACAAAAAAAAACAAAACAAAACAAAGGTTCGAAAGAGTTTGTGGTTTTGCGATAGAGGACGCTTGAATTTCCAGGCTTTTGCGTGATGCAGCATTTTAGCTGACGGTCAGGAAAACTCTCATGGGTTAAAAACGTTACCGATTTTTGGAGATTTAATTTCCTATCTATCCTATTTTAGTATATACACACTCAGTGATCTTGGTAATTCAAGCAATCTGATTGGTTAGCTATCTCGGACTATGACGTTATATTCACCGCGCTAGGCGGTGAACATAAAGCAGAACAAAATCGCTGTCGTGAACTAGGTGTTTTGCCAAAGTTTCAAAGTAAAGCCTTTATGAAAATACACGAATATCCAAGTGCTGATGACTTTGAAGGCAAGAAAAGACTTCATGGTGTTTAAAACAGCGTGATTTATTGTGAAGTGGTTTACTGTAGCTGACTTTTTGTACGCTCGAAGGTTTGTTTACCACTACAGAGGAAAACGAGGTCGCTTTGTCACTGTTTTGTGATTTCGGGATTTTCTCGCAAGACCAATTTTGCCTATAAATAGAAGTTAAATTATGGAGAAAACAGGAAGGCAATTTTTTTCGAAAATTGTACGTGCTAGCAAGTTAACAAGGCAAAGTACATTGGAGAAAAACAACGCTCACCTTCAGATCGTAGCCGTTGTTGACAGCATTTGCAAGAAGCGAGAAAGAAAACTTTCTCATTCACGGTGAGTTGACAGAAACAAATAAAGCTGTACTTTATTTCTTCTCAGAATTGGGTAGTAATTTAAATTTTCGGCGTTTTCTTTTAAACCGTTGATGCTAAAGCTTACAAAACTCGATACAAAAAGATTAAAACTATCATTTGTCATGTTTGAAGATACTGTAAAGATCTAACTTTTGCGCATCCACTTTTTGCGGCTTCGTGTCAACGAATGAATTCACCCGTCAATCAAACTAATCGTTTTTTAATGGTTTCCTTTCTGATTCTTTTGAGATCACTTCGTGTGAATATACTAAAACAATTATTCACCTCAGGCTCAGTTAATATTGTTGAATAATCCCCTCGACTTTCTCTCGGGGATTATTCAACAATATTAACTTCGCCTTCGGCAAATAATTGCTAAATAGAGACTGAGCTAATTTGCAGGATATTTGCGTCAATAAAAAGAGGAATGGCATGAACATTCCTGTTGGCAAAAAATATGAAACGGAGAACCTTTTTCTGAAGCAATAAGATTTTAATTTAATTTTTTAAATGTGTTTTTGACGCCCAGTGTCCCCAAACTATCAAACCATAAGGAGACATAAGGCAAGATTAACGCACGGTAAATATTTAGCGAGGTATGTTGAGGAACAAAGTGCTTCAATTTAGCGATTAAACCAACCGTTTTACTTAATTTAGTAGTTACATTGTCAATGTGTATTTACCACGAGAGATTTTTGTCAATCAAAATGCCAATATTTAATATAATCTTCATTTCTAAATTAACGTATCGATTGGTATCAGTATCGAAGATCAATAAAGTGCAAAGAAGCACCTTGTACAGCATAATAAACAGCCGTAACACAGGAAATTACTGTTCAGTAGCTTTCACTTGAAAGGTCAAACTTCAGGATTTTATCCACAGACTATTTAGCTCCACTATGAGCTTTATATAATTTGTTTATTAATCAATTAAAGGTCATACCCCAACTATGAAGATTTTCATCGCACTGGCGTGTGCATTTCTGCTACCTGAGCTTACCAACGGAAATCTCGGTTTTGGTGGAAACCAAGGAAACTTTTATCATGGTATTGGTGGTCAGTTGTCTGGTCTCAGCGGTAATGGAAACCAATACATCAGTCAGCCTTACACTAGTCCCTACATACCCGACCCTTATGAACATTTCTGTCAATATTTTTACGATCTACGTTCTATAAGTCAAGGGAATAACCTTGACGCAGTTATTCATCAAGAAATCCTTAAAGCCATTTTTCAAATGGGAAGAAGACTAGAGATGGAAATCCCAGGATTTAATGTTTTTCAGGCTCCTAAACTAGAAGATTGCAGAGACCCAAATATTTGTGCTTACCTCTTCTATAAAAGGTTGTCACCGATGGAAAATGAGTTTTTCAATTCTGTCTACTATGATGACGTTCGAGAGGTTTATGTGGAACTTTGGTTATTACACCCGCTCATGCGACGATGTCTCCCTTATGTGAAGAAAGACTTGAAAAGTATTAATGCGAAGGTGACATTAGTTGAAGGATTACTCGATGCGCGGAAACCAGTGTCTTCGGCTGCGGCTACGATTCTGCCCTCTGAAAGGTTTATAAAAGTTCTAGTAGGAAAGAGCGGAAAGGTCCTTAGAGATGAGATCAGAAGATCTTGCGAAAGCCGAAATCGTCTGACCAAGTATTTTGTTCATCTTTGCCAGAACTTGTTCAACTGGTTGACTCCTACCAAACTGCGAAAGGTAGTGGCGACGCGAGTCCTCAATGGAATGCATATCTCCTACATTTTCTAATGCTTAAGTACAACTTTCCATCTGAGTTTCAACAAGTTCAATACCCTCAAGTCAACGAAGCAAATGACCTTATGATGAAAAACCTGGAGGTGTTTTTTGAAGTCACTAGCAACAAGCAAACAGATCGACTACGTGATTTGTTGTCTTTGGTACCCGATTTAAAGACTATTAAATCTGGTTGTCACACGACATGGAACCTTCCGAGAAACAGTAAGAAGAGTATTTGTGTGTTCTGGAAAGCTATTATACAAATGAAAATTTACGCCATTTCCAGTACCCCTCCTGCTAATGGAAAAGTTACTAAAGTTCTCAATACCAACATTGACTATCAAAATTTTTTGAGTTTGAATGAGATGAATAACATCCTTACAGCAGTTGAAAATCAGGCAAATGCTCAGAACATCCTCACAGATTGGCTGAGTGGAGAGTTGAAAAAGGAAGTTAATGACAGGTTCCATGGTCTTAAAACGTACTTTCAAAAGGTAGAAAGTTTCAATCGCGCCAAAGCTGACTCTGATGTTGCTTATGCAAGTACAAAACTGGAACATTATGCCTCTGAAGTCGCCTCTTTAACCGACGAATTAGGAAGTAGTTTAGAGAGACTTATAAATTGGGCAATTGCGGCGGTTTCGGCAGAAGCTGCTGAAGACTTGGCTCAAGTAACAGTTAGCACTTTTGCTTATTTGAATCCTGTTGAAGCCGTATTTGTGAGTTCTTCTTTGAATGAGTTCGCAGATCGTGTTAATAAATTGGCTCACACTCTCAATGAATTTGGAGAGATGTTTAATATGAAGGATTCTCTGGACAATCTCTTTACCCAAAGTCAAAGTATCAAAGCCAAGTTCAACGAAAATTCTGAATTCCTTGAGGTTGTCCGCAGTTTGGTTCAGGGTATCGCCAGTGGAGCATCCACGGACAATTTTGAAGAAAAAAAGCAGAAATTTCTATGTCTTTATAACAAGTACGATCCAAAAGTGGGGAAACCAGAGTTGACAGCCCTCACATCATTATGGGAAACTATGATTGACGATACATGTGATACTATACTCGGGCAAGATACAGGCCTTGCTGCTGCAATGATTTCACACATTCAGATGGAACGTGCATGCCCCAAAACAAAAGTTCTTGCGCAGAAAATGATTGAATCATATGTAGAAGTGTATGACTTTCAGTTTGAACTCATTGAGGCCATGGCAAGCTACATGAGAGCCACCACTGCGGTGGAAGCAGCTAACAGTATCGTTGATAATTACGAACAGCTTCCCTCTGTGGTAGATCAAAACGATGTAAAAATCCCCACGTTAGCTTCTCTTGTCGTTTACAAAACTGCTTCATGGAAGAGTACAGATGACTTCTGCAGCATCTTGGAGTACAAAGAAGGAGGAGTTCTTCCCAGTGTCTGCGAAGGCCTGGACACTAATATTGCAAGCTTGGCTTCTTACGTCAGTCCAACCTGCAGAAACGTAGAAGAATACAAAGATATTCCGATTGATCCCCATGATAAGCTTGAATTCCTGTCTGATTTGTATTCTGGTAAAGTTGTGTCATTCCAGATTCCTGATGCTGATTGGCTGGTCAGCAACAAATGGATAAACAGCCGTGACCGCGACTCTGCTATTTTTGTTAAGAACCTAGAGGTATTTTTGCCGACATCTAGCGCGCATGAGCGTAATGTTAGGGTCGAATGGAAAGCTGTTGGGATGAATTACTTTACCCCCTCAAATCCGACCAGTAAGAGGTATGCTATTGTCCCACGAAAGAAGTCTGTTTTTGAGTACAACGAAGGACGGGGTGCACCCGAGCACTGCATGAAAGAAAGTTCCTTGCTGAACAATCCTTACGGACCTAACCTGCCAAAGATCTGCCCCTTGAATGTCGATGACAACAGCTGTGATGAGCTCTTGCAAAAAACACCATTATTTCCATCGGTCTACTCGAAATGGAAAATATCTATATCTGGCTACGAATCTGCCCGGATTCCAAATCCTGCGAACCAGGACTTCGCCATCAAATTTGGAGTGAAGCTCTGCATCTTGCAACGTAAAGTTAAAGACAAAGGCATCAACTTACTGGATCCAAAACGAAGAGGTAAAGGAAGAAAGCGAAATAAAAAGCAACAACAAAGAAATAACGCAAACACAATACACTGCCAAGATGGCCAGTACTGGTCATTAAACAAGGGGGCCTGTACACCTTGCCCGTCGGGATCCTATTCAGCTTTGGATGGCTATTACTGCGAACAAAATCAAGCCTGAACATAATCTTTGAATAAGTCTTGTGCATGCAAGAGAATAATACGGGATTTAGCTGGAGTAGTTTTTATTGAAATGATTCAAAATCAGGGGTGGTGAGTGGCCGGCGAGTCTCTCCAGTGATCAAATAAACCCGTCAAACCTGTTCCCAAGGTCTTGAATGAATTTGAAACTGAATTTGAAATGGAGGTTTGAGAACCAAAATATTCAAAATTTCATTTGACCTTTTCTCAAGTAACCCGCGCACTTTTCGTTTTGGATGCGGATTATTGTCGTCACTGTCACTCAGTGACACTTTGCTACCTCATTTGTGCTGGTAGTGATTGCATGCCTTACCGTGTGGAACAGCGAGATGACTTGTCAGTTACGCGATGATACTACTTTCTAACTCGAAAACAGATACAGTTTCGTTGCGCAGTTGATAACTACCTCGCGAACTGCCAGTTGACCTTTCACCAGCCCTTGGGTGGCCACCAAGCTCACTTGAAACAAGTCATGATAGGGTGAGGGTTTATCAGATGATATATTGGGGAGTCTTAACTACCGTAAACCTGAGCAGCAAACCCTTTTTCCTTCTGTACCTGTCTTTTTCGCCGACCCATTTTTTTTGTTCATTTATCCCTCAAATTTGACCTCAAATAGCTTCTTCACAAATTAGTCAACAAAAATTAGGTATTGAGAAAAGAAAGTTTATCATACTTCAAATGAGCACCCATTCAATTGTCATTGTCCATTTTCGTAGTGAAAAATCAACTGTAAATTGCGAATGATGCTTAAAATACATATGCTTAGTAACAGAATTGTTTGCTCCAGGTTATGGGCTCGTGGTATTTCAATACTACATGTAATTAGTATAGAAAAGCAGTTAACTCGCAAAGTAAATAATATGGCCGATTTGCCCTTCTTTATGGTCAGTTCTAGCTAAGAAAACTGTCAAGATTTGAATGGAAAGATTTGAGAATTCCGATCACGAATTACTAGCAACAAAACAAGTTTTGTTGAGTCGCACCCCAACCAAGCTCGCATACCATCCTCACCAAAGCTCCTCAGCGGGCTTCTAATTAGAATTTAAAGGTGCATGGGATATTTCATTATTGTTTTTGTCAGTTTTTTTTTTTTCATTTGGTAAAGCGTAGGATATGAGCGTTTGGAAACATTAACACTATGTTTTATTTCCCGGTGTGACTCTTAAGAATGGGACGAGAAGAATAGCCCTTATGCATGTTTACGTCACACAAGCAAATTTCACCACCAAGCCTCGTTTTGAAATAAAAAATAAGCGAAGTTTCACAGAAATGAATTCCCAAGGCAGTAGAGTTGAAAAGAATACCCACGCACAAAAAGTGCAAATGCAAAAAATTTTGTTCACAAACGAGGCTTGTTGGTGAAATTTACTCGTCTGACGTAATCATGCATAGGGGCTATTATGAGAATGACCCGAAGAACCAATTCTAGGAAGACTCTGAGTCTTCTTGAGCCATGTTTTGCTTGGGGCTATAAACAAACGTCAAACACCGTTGTGCGATCCCGCTGGACGAGGCAAGAGAATAGTGCATTTTTCAAAAGGCCTGGTAGCTGACCTACCTGGAATGATGACTCCGGCTCTTCACCCCTGACAGAGGATTGCACCCCCAGAGCTTTATCCAGTGCTAGGGGCAAGTGATATCAGGGGAGAGAAGATAAATTAAAAAGGGCCCACACTAATCTTCTGTGCGCACTCTTTTTATTGCTGTTTGATTAAGAAACAGTCAGGGAAAGTTTTGCAAAGCTGAAGATGGAATAAACGTTTGGCCGAGCCTACCCTCTCGATTAATTGACAAATAGATATGTTGATTTGCTTTTCAAATAAATTATTTCAAAGAAAGCTAGACTGCAAGCGTGAGCTTTAAAATAGTTCTAAAGAAATTCTAATGATTCGTTTCCGCATTTCTACCCAAATTTGTTTTCGAATTCTATTTTGCCTGTTCCTTTCTTTTTTGCAGTTTTCAATTTCGATTTTGACACCCTTCGGATTATTATGAGGGATAAATGTTTAGGGAAAGCAGGTGTTCGAAGACTTCATAGTGACATTTCCATGTGAGCCTCCCACGAAATCTGTAAATTTTAGATAATTGCCTTTTCCAGAGGAACAACTTCTGAACATGCACAGAATTTCCTCTCCCGAGAGGACTTCATTCCACATGTTCACTCCATACATCTCGCCGGAAAAACTTTGAACCTGCTCAAATTCACCACCGTGGCTGTCTTGATCTTGGCCGAGAATGATAGTACCATCACTGCTAATCACGTGACCTGTCTCAAACTCATCTCCCTGAGCAACATTTGCGCCATCGATGTAAATGCTCCATGTACCAGCGGTGTTCTCCCATGTTGTACAAATGTGATGCCACCGATCATCGTTGACAGCTCTTTCAGATGTTCTGAAACATTTCAAAAGTCACGTGAAAATTTTTTGTTGATAACGTTGTTTTTATGATTGACCATAGAGTTGTTACTTTTTAGCTTTCTGGCCAACTTTAAGGTAAAATTTAGACATGGCACCCGATTCCATGATGGAATGCAAGCAACAGGAAACTCGTTGGTATTTCGACAACCAATCATTGTCTAGGCAAAAAAAATCATGGTTAAAACAATAACCTTTGTTTGTCTTGTAACACTTTCTAGATCATTGTCTTTTGTTCATTCGGATGGGCTATGGGAAAGGTCATGCTTCGAAAGTAAAAGGGCAGGGAGCCAAAGCGGCGAAAATAACCCCCCTTTCCAGGGAGCAATCCCCCAGTGTGTGAAAGCTAGCCGCCCCCTCCCCTCCCCAACGGCGTTTCCAGCATTTTATAAACATTTTCTAAAAACAGATTCATTAGGTGTGTACTTTTGTTTCGGCCAAGACAGTTATTAAAGGCATCAACTCACTGGCTACTTAATTATAAGATCTAGAATCGATATAAATAATAAAGAATAATGTTAAATATATATGGACTGGTTAAGATTTATGGCGACATTAATGAAGCAGATTATCCAGAGTTTATTATTTTTTTATGAAGAGGTAGCCTCAGCGAAGGCAAGCGTGAAGCGAGTGAGAAGCCCCAGACGAAGCGAGACGGAACCGGGGAAGAAGCCGGAAAAAATTGTTTATCCCGTCGTCCTTCTCCTTAGAACTTTGACCTGCTGTGAAACTCGTAAGGTCGACTTGTGGCAAGCTACCTCCTCCTCATCGCTTGTATCTGTGCCTTCTCCGCGTCGAGGGTGTTTGGCGCTCCCCGTTCGCTTCGCGCCTGCCTACGCTCACCCGAAAAACGGGAAAAATAACACCTGTTCCAAGGGCTAATCAAGAAAGGGTTGAAGTTCACAGTATTGCCATTTACCTTAGATAACCATTTATCATAAACCTCAAACTGGTGTAGTCGGTGATCAATATCTCATTGTGTTCATCCGGAAGTGAATAACTGAACAAGGCCCCGTCATCTGATTGGTCGCTCACTCTTATCCAAAGGCAGATGGTAAACTCAGTCAAAGCCGGCAGACTTGGATTGTAATCCTGCAGGTTTAAATGAACGTAGTCGTGGACGGTTTTATTAGGAAACGAAAACTGGAAATCGGCTTCATTCGTTTCTGCAAGATAAGATATCAAATAAGCCGATAGTGAATGGTCAAGAGTTTATAGCCGACTCAAAATATCTATTTCAATGCGTGTACTTAAATAGAAGCTAACATCGTATTTTTTAATTTATTTTTCACCATATGCATTAGCAATTTGTTATAGAATGCTGGCCTTGAAAATGTGATTATTTTCCACCTCTAAACATTCCTATCGCTTACGTCGATTAGCTTTTGCTGTGGTGATCAGGAGGACAAATGAGGGAGTAAAACTCAATATAATTACCCATGAGTCAAAGCCGCTGATTAAAAGTATTTTTTAAATCAAAACCTAAAGTGAGGAAAAGAGCTGAAAATAGAGTCCAAATTTCAATTAAAGTGAACAAATTATCATGGAGGTATTGCAATTTTTAATTCAAAGCAGTCTTTGGTCATTTTGCCGTCTCGTATTTGGACCGCCAAAATGGACGCTGTTCATCGTTTCCAATCTTGCTGAGTTTGTGGGTCATTGGTGAGAACTCGGTAAAATTAAACAATCGGACAGAAACGCGGCTAATAGAGGTAAAAAACTGCGACATATGAAATTTACCACCCACTAAAGGGGTTCAGAGAGCGAATGCTGAGGTTCAAATCACCTTTAAATGGGACGGAGTCAAAGGTCAGTATGAATATGAAATTTGTAGTACGGATAAGTTAACTTTCTTATAATGGACTCCGGGCCTTGCAAATGTTACTGGTAAGCGTGAAGATTTTCTATCCTCAAGGTAATTTTTGCTTTATACATTTCTTGATGAACTAATTAATCTGTTGAAGTATGAGATAGCCGCTGGTATTACGCGGGCGCCACCTCAGCATTTGTGGCCATGGTAAGTAACACGTCATAGCTGCGCTCCGCGTGCGCAGAGCCCCATAGCTAAGAAAATTTGGTTACCTAACCATCCAAGAAATTTTGGTAGTCACGTGACGGTACGTCCGTCCGACCGTCCGTCCGTCTACCTCTCCGTCCGCAGAGCTTTGCTTTTAGCCTTGGGAAAATCTATATATTACATCTTTAATTAACCAATTGAAAACTATGTTTACATGTAAGAAATAGCTTAATACGAAGAATGGCAGTTACAAACTTTAAGACTGCAGATAAAGGGAACTACCTTCAAGGGAACCGGGGCAACGAGTACCGCACGTTCGAATTTCCTAAGAATATAAAAAACAAAATTTATGTTAGGCAAGGACAAAGTGTTCGCTTGTATACATTTAGCCTCTTATCTAAATCCCCACCAAAACATTCGTGTGACCGAAACCCCCATAAAGGAAAACATAAACACAGAAAGTCTGCCATAAAGGTACGGACACTGAGGGTCTTTTCTCATGGGCGCAGATTCATGGTCCCCAAGTTCTTTTTGCGTGTCTGAGGTGAATGGCCGGCCCCCAGTAGGGTGAGTGTAATGCCGCCAGACTTAAGGTCTAGTACCAAACACACACAAACGAGGCAATGCACCAGCACAGAAACTGACTGGGGAAACTGAACCCCCGCCCCTAGAGACACAGTACAGGATCCTTCATTTGGGCACAGAAGGTCTCTTATCATTAATGCCCCTCAGTTTTGAACAGTTGTGGTGAACAAAAACATAGTCCCCAAAAATTAACGTTTTCGTCACAATTGAAGTCCAAATCAGACTGACAATCGACTGAGAGTCACCAAAGAATGATAAAGATCGTCCTTAACACTGCGTAACAAGAAAATATCACTTCATATTCTTTTGCTAGTCAGACTGATTCACTTACCGTGTCTTCATAGTATTTAAAACCTTCCTTTCTGGTGATATTTTGAGGACACATTTTTCCTGTTGCATAGTTGATTTCGCACTGGTGAGTCGGTGAGGCTGACACATATTGAAAGTTGTATGACAAACATTTTGGGTGTTCCACACAAAACAAGTGACAGTGTGGGAGTGACGTGACATGGTTAGTTGAAATTGCGTGACCAAGGAGGACGTGTCCTGGGGGATAAGTTAACAGCAAAAAAAAATAATAATAATAATAAGAAGAAGCAACCAATTACAGACTATAGATCGAGAAATTGGCGGCATCTTTAAAATACTGATAAGGAGAAGATTTTGATAAAGACCTTTAAGCCGGGACCTTTAACCGTAGTGCCTGTGATTTTGGGATTGTAACAAAACAAGAGCTATTGTGATATTAAACTGCGCTTAAGAGTGCTGATACATCTAATTTTGCCTTCAGCGCAGTACGCCGTCTTTTGGGTTTTGTTTATATGTAGACATTTCTTTACGCTCATTCATAGCCGTAACCGTGCGTAAGCGAAAATACTTGTTTTCCATCCTGAACACTCTAAGTGAGGCAAGAACCAGCAATTTACATCCCTAAGCGTGAAAATACCAAACTCGTCCCCAGGGTCTTAAGCTTCTCGTCCCACGGAGCAAGAGAGGGAGAGAGAGAGAGAACGATAGCCTGCGTAGCATGGCGGTTTTGGTTGGGCGCGCTAAGTAATAAAGGCGGGCGAGGGCAGAGAAACCGCGAGGAGATTGGGGCGGAAGCAACTTGAAAAACCGCCTGCACGGACGGGGGGCTTTTTTGAGTCGGTCCGCACGCCAGCGTACGGATCGTTCCGATTGGTTCGGAATGTTCGCTTGTCAATCAAATATTTTGGTAATCTCCCATGGGAGAGTTTCGAGGGACTGAACAAATCATCTCCGCAAAACAAAATCAAAATATCAAAGAAGCGTTGACCGGAGCGTCGTCGATCTTGAATATTTGACGGGAAAACAGGGCAATTGTATTGAAGCCTAAACAGGAAATGGCCATTTACAGTCTTCTTCAAAGGAGAGATGTCATGGAAATTTTGTCAACAAGATTTGGCAAGAGCATGATCTTTACTGTCTTTGCTATGGCCAAAGAAGAAATATCCTCATCGGAAACCTGTATGATCACAATTTCCCCTCTAAAAAGTACTATCGAGGACCAGATATCTGAAATGGTGTCGCTGAGATGTAAAGCAATGCACCTTATGACAGAAACAGTAAATTTCAGTGCTTCGAGAAAGTTCACCTCAATTTTCTCTATTACTCGGTGTTAGAGAATAACGCACTCCAGCGCAATACATCGAACGGCGTCCGCGATTGTGGTCGATGAATCGCATATGGTAGAAGACGCACAGCGTAATTCTCCATACTTTTTTGCTTGGTGTAGCTTAAGCTACAACTCAAATCTGAAGATCGCGCTATACGTAAAAATACAACATCCTGCAAACAACAGTTAAAAAGCCGGGCCCAGCGTCAAAACATTCACAGACAAAGCAGTGACAAAGAAACTACAAACCAAGGCTCCTTGGTTTGTAGTTGTCCAGATCCAGGCATTTTAGTCGGAAAAGACCAAAGAAACTAAAATATTTATTTAGCCGTAATAAAAAGCTTTAGGCTTTAAGAGTGGTCAAAGAAATTAGTACTTTACAACTGCATCTGAGATCAACAAATTCTAATTAGCGAAAATAACATTAACCACAGGAAATAATTACTCAATACAGATTAAACAAACCAACTCCATGACCTCTAAATAAATGTAAGACTTAGTGCTGCAAAAATAAGATCTACTCAGTCAAGTTTAGAACGCAGTGTAGTCACCTATGCGCGAGATAGCCACAAAGAAAAAACCCGTGTTTGTTCAAGCAAACTCCAATTCCGGCCAAGGTCACGTTTTACACTATATCACGAGCTCTTGTGTCGTGTTTAGGCTGTCAACACCTTATTTCTGATTGGCTGGGAAAACTGAAACCAAACAAGTTGTCAACAGGATGTCAAAATGAGTTGAAGGGGGCGGCAGTTGAAAAGGCCACGAATCCGGGCAGGCGGTTTTTATTTTTCTCGCGGCTTGGCCGCTCGTTCTCGCGCGCTTCGCGCGCGAATTTCGCGGCTACGCCGCTCCTGCGCCCGGCTCAACAAAACCGCCATGCTACGCAGGCTAAGAGAACGAGGGAACGAATGGAAAGATGGGACGAGGTTCTTTACAATGAGTAAATACTGGTCAAAAGGTTCCTTTTGAATGGTCACACCAGAGACCATAGGTTTTTTTTCACATTTTGTTTATATACGCTAGTTGGAGGGAGCCATTCAGGGGCGGATCCAGAATTTTTTTTAGGAGGGGGTGCACTCGTCTCTTGCTGTACTTCAACACCAATAAACCACATAGTTTTTTTTTTTGGCAGAATACCAGTTGTATTAGAAAACCGCAGGTCATCTCGGGGGGTGCACCCCTGCACCCTCCCCCTAGATCCGCCCCTGCCATTGGAAGAGGTAAACTAAAATCACGACGATCTTTAAAACAGGTGTAGCTACTGACAATCTGGCCCCCTTTTGGAAAGAAAGAACTTTTAGTATGTTCTTTGCAAAATGGATAGGAACTGTGAAGAAAATGGATTACGTTGGCGACTGAGTTCATACCTTCAGTGGCGATAAATGCCCTTGTTTTGGAACAGGATTCTACAGTCAGTCGCGTGAATACTAAAAGAAAAATCACTTGAGCTGCTCTCATCATAATTCCTACTGCAACAAACAGTTCCATGCTCTAAACTAAAAAATATTGACAACAATGAAAAGATCTTAGAGCACATTCCGAGATAGAAACATCGTCTACATACTTCCATCAGATTTGTCTCAGGAGTGGGAATGGATAAGTCATTTAAATCATGATGAGGAATAAGATAGGACCCAGTTTAATTGCATGGGGGTACACTGGTATTGATTGGCAGCCAGTCTGCAAACGCCTCTCCAATTTTAAAGCGTTGTCTTCGGGTTGAGAGGAAGCTGATGATCTATGGTATAAGACATCGTCTAACGCCTAACCCTAACAATCTGAGCGCGATGCATACCAATTTAAATTAACCAGCAGTCTGTTTACGATGTGATCAAATTGCATAAAATTTACACTATAGAAAAGATTGAACTGCGATTTTTTCTTTTACACAAAAACGTCCTTTCGTATTAGAATGACGGATTGTTTTCAGAACAAAATTTCCCTCAACTAAATTTTTTAATTCGGAAACGTTGTCAAGTCAAAACATCACCGAACCGTTAATTGTTAATCCCAGCTGTAGCTTTTAAATTGCCAAGATGCAAGTTTCTTCGTTTACCATTTTTTCTTGATTTATAACATTCTGGTTAGCGTTGACATGACAGTTAAGCAATCGGCTTTCAAAAACTCTTGACAATTTAATTTCGTGATTACTGATATTTACCTGCCAAATGCCGGGTTTCAGTTCCACTTCGCTCATCTGAGGTGACAAACTGCATGGTTCCCAATTTACTCATTTATATTATATCCAGGAAATATCTAATCCGCCAGATGGGGCTCATCAACTCAAAAGAAGAACGTCTTTTGTTTAAATCCTCGCTCATGATACTGTTAAATGTTTCTATTTCAAATTAAACAGATAGTACGACTGATGTGTAAATAATTTATCGTCCTCCTGTATGATTTATTTTTAAGAGGGATTTTCGTGAAATTTGACGAACACTTGGTTGCGAGATATTCGGCAGAATCGTTCTTAGAGTTAAATGAAAGAAACTCCAGTCTGTACGTGTTTCTCACTGTTATGTTCAATGTACGCCTGTTTCAGAAACTCTAGTAATAAGACTTCAAAATTAAGTTTTACCGTTACCCCTGACCCTGACTGATATGAAACCTGTTTTAGCTCTACCGACGTGCGAGAGTTCAACAAGTCGTCAATTTTAAACGTAACACTCAAGCGAGACCTTAAAATGCAAGAGACTGGCTACAAAACTCGCCAGATTGGTCTACAACACATGATGCGAGACCTGCATCTCTGAATCAAGATTTGCAGGCTATAGGGGTGACATGAAGGCGACGGTAAAAAAGGCACTCAGAGCTCATAACACATTCATGGCAGAAAGAAAGAATTAAAGTTTAATCAGTTAGTAGTAAAACTGCAGGTGCTAAATTTCTTAATTGACGCTCGTTAACAAATCTATTTGCTTTTACTTAAGCCGTGAAGCTTATGAACTTTATCCGTTTTATAATTATCGTTTGGCCTTACATGCACCTTTGTTTTAATGATTTTGTTCTCTGACTGTAATCAAACAAAATTGTACACGGTTTGAAATAATCTAAAAACCCTTGTGAAACCAGCAGAAAATAAGTGCATACAACTGTGCAACTGTACGACTGTACCCTCGTAAATTAGGCAAAACTCTCACCTTCTTCGAGTTTGTCCATCCGTGCAGAGTCCTTTTGCATTTATATTTGCTGTGTTATTTATACCTTCTTTCATCCAATTTTGTGGCAGTCAATTCTCACTTTTTGAATTTTGATAAATTTTCTAACACAGCTGACCATGTTTGAGTTTGCTGTAAACCCATAGTGCTTATCATCGTTTTTATTAGGCTAGTCTGCAATTGCCCAGAACTTGCTAGACCAACAGTTTTTCAAAGTTTATTTTGTTGTTGTAACGTTTGATGTATTACTTGGGAGACATATTTGTTTGACACAAAGCTCCGATTTCGTCATTCACAAGTAATTTCGAATTCTAAATAGAGGATCTTACATGGCCGCGCGAGGATACGAATTTTATCTTCGAGTGGTGAAAGATACTTTTAGCACGAAATTCCTACGTAAAACACAACTTTTTTAAATTCATTTTCGAAACAGCAAAATAGTGCAATTAAAGTGGTACCGATATGGAAATTTGGCAGCTCATCGAGAAAGTCATCGGTAACTGTACCGTCTTCGCACCTCGAAACCATTTTGTAAATGAAATTTCAAGAGAACCGGCCGCGCGCCTGAGCGAGAAGCTCTCTTGTAATTGGCTAATCATGTTAGTAACCATGGCGACACCAATATCGTCACACGTGGAAGATAAAAATAATATCTTCACTGCGCGCGATGAAGATATGATTTTTTAGTAAAAGGAAAGATCCTGGTATTTCATCAGTTTCTATATGATAAAGCTTTTTAGCGAATAAGGACACAAAACTGGCACTGGGACATTTGTGTTACGTATACAAAATCGGCTAGGCCATTACTTGGAGGGAAATTTGCGGCTTAAAATCTATTAGCTAGCTCATAGTTTAGAGGAAGTTTTCGTTATTTCATTGACTTTATCGTCGCAAAGATAACAGGTGAAAGAAGGAGCTCGGGGTGGCGGAATAGAACTTCCTTGCAAGTACTTTGTCAAATTGGACCGAAGAAATCCAAGCCCCCGTAGTTCTTAGGCAAACAAAAAAATACGGGTTACTGTATCTTAATTTTATTTTTTTTTGCTTGTATTTGAGGATAATTTCCAAATACGCGCCCTCGGGGGCTTCTATTCGGCGGAGCAACGTAACGCAGGTTTTTTATGTTACAAGGTTGGGGGGAGGGGGGCATATTTTTGGCTTATACATGGAGGGGCTCATTTTCGGAATTTTACGGTGATATTAGCCTGTTCATAGACCCTCTGTTTTCTCTTCAAAGTCCGTCGAACGGGGGTGATAAAATTTATACCGCATGGGATTTATTGACCGCTTCGCTCGCGAGCTTGCCGGTGTTTTCGAAAAGGAAAATAAAACAACGTCTGTGTACAGGCTACGGTGATATGTGCTAATCAAATTTTTCTTTAAAGACAAAGCTGAAGAAAATAGAAAAAAAAAATTGAAAATGAAGTGCGTGAAATGCTTTTGTTTCCCAACAATCACTGGTTAGCCTCCAAAAAGATTATTTAAAAGCTGCTTTCCAAGACTATTATCAGGAAAACAATATCCACTGCTTCCCAGCGAGCGGGGGTGTTTTTAATTAACATCATCTCACCTTGCCCTTTTAACAAGACTTTGACCTTACTACCAGCTAGTAAGGCCCTGTTCATACCTGTCATGCTGTCATTTAGGTCACCCTACCAGCCAAGTCAACTTTATAAGCGACTTTTTATACGGGAAAAAGGTCGAATCCACACGCTCTGAATCTCTAAAATAGCGCTCGCACTTTATCTAGTAGCCTCATCTTGACCGAGTTGACCCGGCTGAGCGAGTCAAAGTGTTTATATGGAGAACAGTCTGCCCAGGTAGGAGAGTGACTCTTCTAACACGTGGGAAAACCTCTCTTCAGCTCTAGATTAATTTTTATTCTCAGCTTGCACTGTCACGCAATGAAAAATAAAAATGTAAACCATTCAATACAGAACGACTAGAATCTGGGAAATGAAAAAAGATAAATGTACAAAAACCCTTGCCGAGAATCAGGTCTGTGAAATATTTCAAATGCGAGATATTGGGAAAAAAGGTTTACCTAAATTTATAAAGCTTTGTATGGAAACGCCATGTTGGTGTCCTTTTCAGGAACACCAATATGGCCGCCGGATACCAACAGAAACATCTGTTTTCGAGTTTTCCTACTAATGCGTGAATTCTTCGCTTGAGGAACTCATAAAGTAATATTTATTCTCTTTCCCGGCCGCCAGCTAAATGCCGCGTCACGCAAAAGCCTGGAAATTCAAGCGTCCTCTCTCGCAAAACGAAGAACCCTTTCGAACCAAAAATTTGTTTATGTAAAGGTGTTTAGGTACTGTAATACCTCGTGAAAGTAGAAACTCAGAAGAATAGATAGTTTCTTAGTTTGATTTTTGGTGACGTTACGTGCAACCCAAGAATTACACGTCGCCAAACGCACAAGCAGTAGATCTAATTCATCACGGGTCTAGTCCTCTAGTTATTGCTCGTAAGAATAGCCTTCAAAAAATGAAAACTGTTTCATTTGATCATACACCCTCTTTTTCTGCCGTTCTGTCCATTCTACGTAATCTCTAGTTATCGATGGAATTGGGTCTACAGTGCTGGCACAGTCTTGGATATAATCCTCTGAACAAGTGATTTCCAAAAAAGCGCATATCTTTCTCAAGACATCCGATGGTTGCTTTACTAGTTTCATGCTTGGGATGTCAATCACCTTTTCAGGGAAGGCCTCTCGAGTCTTTTTACATCCCGCCACCCAGTGAAAATACCGAGTTATTTGGTCGTCTAAAGTTTGAGGGGCATTTACCTGTGGAGAAAAATTGAGAAAAAACGGTGTTTGAATCTATAAGAGCATAGTTAATAGACTGGAATGGTAATGAAACCTCTTCAGACTCCTTTGTTATTTGACTTGTTTTTGTGGACCTGACGGTCCACAAATGCATTCCCGGCGTTTTGATCTTACTGACCAATAGAAACGTCCTATTAATTTATTCCGTCGCAATTTGCCAACAGAAAACAAAGGATTGTGCTCCTTCAGGGAGTTTCCAACATAAACTGCAGCACCGTGTGGTTTTATATTTGATGTTTGTTGCCTTTCAAAACCAGTCTCCCCTAATAACTATGATAAGAGCAAGAGAGAATGAGGTCGATAAGAGTCATTCAATCAAACCACCAAGCTGCTCAGTAATGACAATAATAGCTTAATTGGCCCTGTGTTCACTTATCACATTAGCTGCTAAAAAAATGCCGGGTATGGGAATTGAATATAGCCTGTGGGTGTCATCGGGGCCGCCCCAACCCACCCCCCTCCCTCCTCAATGGGCGGCTCTACATAGTAGGCTACTTGAATGCAAGGGGCTCGAGAGTGAAAGGATAATTCCCAAAAAATAATTAAATAAATAAATAAATAAAAAGACGAATGTGGCCGGCACTGGGTCTGCACTCGGCACTGGCCGGGCATGAAACAGAAAAATTTGATATTATCAACTGATTTCATCACAGGTTAGCCTGCGAAAACATCCGTTTCTCCTCGCTCTTCGCCGATGGGGACGTTTCGCGCGGAGGAACGTCGTTCCTCCTCGCGAAACGTCCCCGGCGGCGAAGAGCGAGGAGAAACGGATGTTTTCGCAGGCTAATCACAGGTAGCCTAAGCTCGAATTATGAGCATCGGCGAGCAACGGCATTGTTGCGTAACATTCAAAATATATGGATTTTCATAAAGTCTATTTGCTAGCCTAAGACGATTGAAAAGCTTCTGTTTAGAGAGTTACTTCTTAGTCAGGATTTACTCTGTTGAAGGCTTGCGCTCGAAACTTCGGTTTTTCAACCATTTTATCGTGCAGGTTATGCGGGTAAAACAATTGTATCACACGATTGAGGTTGATAAAACTAAATCATTTTCGTTTCCTCAACATCCACCCAAACAAAGCGATGATGATCGGTGATAATCTTGTCTGGAAGTTCAAGGCTTCACTATGCAGTGAAACCTCTAAGAGGACCCCCAGTTAAGCGGGCACCCGCCATTAAGCGGACATTAAGCCGGGTCCCGAAATTAACGTTTTATATTTTCCTTTATAACGAACCCCTATTCAGCGGACACCTTTTGGCTTTCTCTCCCCCCTCTTTCTTCGCTTTTCTTGCCTCGTTTTTTCTTTCTTTTTCTTTTTCTTTTTTTTCCTTTTGCTGGGCATTTACATTAGAAGGCTTCATTTTGGTTGGAAAAGTTTTTAGGAAAGGTTTTAGTATCTTAGGATTAGATGAAAGGAAAGGTAGGTGAGTAGTGGAAAAGATTTTTTTTGGCAATTTTCGGGTAAACGTTAGATGGTTTTTTGCCTTTTTCTCCCTGAACGGTGTCCTTGACTGAATTGTTCTCATTCTGGTATGGTCTGAAAGATTCCTTCACTCTGCACAAGTTAGCGGACAAGGTTGTCCTTGAGCATTAAAACTGATGACGTCATAAGCGGTAGAAGAGACGTGCATCCTCACGGGCGGTTAGGGGCGGCTCAGGGGCGAATGGGTTAACAACATGGAACTTTATCACAGTACAGAATAACCGTCGAACGTTAAGCATTAACAAATATTGCGCAGTTTTTACAAACCTCTATTAAGCGGACACCCTCTGTATAAACTTATTGCCACCCCCTCCCGCTCTCCCCACCCCCGATCGATCATACCTTTGAATCGTGTTTACCGTTTCGCATTCTGACGGTACTGTGTTCCAAAGTCATGGTTGCGAGATTATCGAATGGATTTCTCACCACATGAACAAACTTTACTTTGGCGTTGGATGCTTTTTCCAAGAGATGCAAAGCGTCAATTGCGTCATCCTGAAGCATTGCCCCAGCAGTAAATGCGCCCGACTTGTCACCGATCACCTGTCGATTGGAGAAATGATTAAGTTTCATATAAGCGCCTGGGCTCAGTATGTGGACTGTTTTAGTACTGAATGGCTGATATTCATTGAGAGCTCATAAAGCGAAAGGACACTGAAAGATTTTTGCTCTTTGAGCGGAGCTCCACTCGTGGGCCTCAGTTTGACCTTAAAAGCTGCGGGGGAAGGGGGCCTGCAAGGCGCCTCCTATTGATCCGCCATTGCATGATCTGCACGTATATATCCGTGGGGGCTGGAAAAGTTCCTACCTGAATGTACCGATCGTAATTCCCCTGCCATTGATTAGGTACAGAATAACCATAATTAGAATCCTTGTTAACAACGCTTCCTTCGAACACACGAGATCGTCTCCCCGTCATCGTAGACTGCTTCGACGCCCTAAACAGCGTATCATAAAAGGAGTACATCGAACCATTCATCCACTGTTTTGGATTTCGCCGCCATCTTGGAAAAGCCATCGTCTCGTCTGAAACGACTATGTGTGGATGGGCGTCCAACAAAGACCCGAGGAGGCTGTGGCGACTGCGAGGGTAGCCAATGAAAAACAAGATAGTCCTCACGTGTTTATAGGCTTCGTGTAGGTTAATTTGTGGCTCTCGTTCATCTGAAACAAGTATCAAATGAATGAGTCATAACTCACAAATTGAGAAATTTCTCACTTCAGGAATATCGGAAGTTAGCATGCCGTCTTCAGTCAAACACTTAATCTTGGTTTGCAGACGATACTTTTTCTAGAGATTTCATGAATGAACCACGTGACAAGGCGGCCATGGTGGTGATCAATACAATAAAATTACTTTCGAAGAATTTAAATGAAAATGGGTTTTAGTTCAATTCCTAGAGGTGAGAAGTGTTTTTGTTCTCGACCATCGACATAGCCGCCGTGTCGTCACCTGCAAACCAGCAATAAAGGACTTAAAACTAAGTATCAATTTGCAAGAACGTTATTTTCCAACTTTTGAAGGGAAACTCAGAAAGAACTGTTTTACAAACACTAATAAACGGAGTGTGTGTTGAACCGTCATTTAGCGTTGGTCATACAAGTTAATCAATATATAAATTACCAGCCAAAGGGGGCGCATAAAATTTTCAGACTTTACTGATATCCCCAGAAGGGGGATGTGGAGTAAGCTAATGGGTATGTGCTGCTGGATGGGGATAATGGATAATGGGGATGTATTTTCAAGAGAGTTACTAGAACCGGGTCGCACCTTTTCGGGATTTTGGGGCACAGAAAATCCGGATAGGTAGGGATTTAAAAGTTACGACGTTTAGGTTGACAAGTATGACATTATTTTTAGAATGACTAAGTTAAGAGTCTTTTTAAGGTAGATGCATATTAAACTGAAAATGTCTAATATGGGATCGCGAATATTGCATTTCCAAACAGTGACATAGATGGGACCTATAATTAGCCACAGAATTGACTATAATGGGTTAAGGGTTATGAGAGGCCAGCGGCAAATACCCAGCAAAAATTAACCCAAGTAAACTCCTCGCCGCCCCAACCTGGGATCTGATATCCCATCGACATCGTGGCGCAGTTTAGGCTAAAAATGTTCGGTTGTTCTAATACTCTTAACGAATTGTAACTTTCCAGCTTAGTTCATGTGTTCATCCAGTTGCCACTGGATTTCATCCCGGATCAACGACTTTATCCAATAGGGTAGTTTTCTTAGCTAGTTATCATACCGTTTGATGCCCTCTCTTCTTTTTTGTCTAGATCTTTGTTTGGAGAACCGTTCTCGTTTTTTAGTGCCGAGTTTTCTATTAAGAAGGAATCCACAATAGGGGTGTCTCCTATTAACCAAAACAAAGTTAAAGCGGATTACTTCATGTTATACACAACATGTTTGGATTAAAAAAACGTTTACAGGGAAATTTAATCTCTTTATATTCAATTCTTTTGTTGTTGTTTTTTTCTATCCGTCTGCTTCAAACGGATAGAACGATTGAAGATCGTCTCCGGGACAAACGTCGATCTTCACATGGGACGAGCTAAAACTAATAAATGAAAATTTGTATGATAATGTATATTTAGCCTCGCTCGGGAGAATATTCGCTTGTCAGTAGCCTGCGTGGCGGGCGTTTGAAAAGGAAAGGAAAGGGGGTTTTGGGCACGAGGGAAACACGAGGGGCGCGCAAGGAGGGAAGGAGTGAGGGAAACGCCTGCCAAGAAACCATTGCTTTCGACATCCCGCCTACTAATTATGTATGCAAAAATAACGCAAACTGTGAATGACTAGCTGTCAAATAAGTCTGGCCGCGATGAGATATGTCCAAGTTTGCACGCAGTAGAAAAAACTGCGAAAAATTGCAGTTTTTGCTAAAATTAATTAAGTCAAGTGTTAGAGGAGGTACAAGGGTGTCCAGCAAAAACGGCGATTTCTGCGATTTCTCCAAAAAATTGCGAAAAATTGGAGAAATCGCAGTTTTTGCTAAAATTAATTAAAACAAATTAATTAAGTCAAGTGGTACAGGAGGTAGAAGGTTGTCCAGCAAAAACTGCGATTTCTCCAAAAATTGCGAAAAATTGGAGAAATCGCAGATTTTGCTAAAATTAGGAGGTACAAGGGTGCCCAGCAAAAACTGCGATTTCTGCGAACAGTCTGCGATTTCTCCAAAAATTTCGAAAAATTAGAGAAATCTCAATTTTTGCTGCTGCGTGCAAACCAGGACATAAGTGGCCGCGATACACTTATTTTCAGTCGTGCTGTTTTTCTCGCTTTTGTTTTCCTAAAACAAGAAACCTGAAGAAAAGGTACTATAAAAAAGTTCAAATGCGGCCCTCGGTTGAAAGAAGAAAGTTGCAACGATGTGTGGCTTGTATATAAAATCCCGCCGGCAGCAACAATCTATGACGTCGTTTGCTGAAGGAATCGTGCTGGACTTCGCAACTTGCATGCAATGTTTGTCCGAGAAAAATTAAAAACACTTCAATTTGCTGACTCTCGAATTGGATCCAGCAGAGCATACAAAAGAACGATGGTAGCGGGGAAAGAACTGCTGAACTTCGAAGATCTACAAGAAAGCTGCAATTAATTATTTAAGAACTACTAGGTTCCTGGCGGCTTTATAACGTCTATAACTAGCAAGAAGAAGTCCTTAAATCAAAAACCGTGAGGGATTATAGATCGCTTCGTCTTCAATAATCTGGTCGTTGATAAAGCGTAGCCTGAGCGGTAGGCGTTTGAGGTCAAACTGCAGATAACAAGCACAAAGACCGCATGATTTTTGCTCTTTTTCTTCTAGTGAATAAAACAAGCCGTTGGGAGATGAGACTTCTCAAAACTAGCTGTCAGTAAAACTCATCTGGCTGACAGCTCTTTTCCTTTAAACGGTGCTTTTAACTGCTTTCTTCTCTTCTCCTTTGAAGCTGAAATTGATGCCTCCAGTTTCTAATTCTAACGATGAATTCCGTACAGAAATCTCATCACGCTTCACTAACAACACATAATGATTACTGAAAGATCGAGTTACTCAGTAGCGTAACGTTGATTTCAACCAGTCAGATAAAGAAAGGCTGTGATTGACTTGTTTTGAAGACTCGGCTAACCAATGAAGATTTTAACATTCGCCTGGTGAAGCCTGGTGGATGTTAAAACGAGAAAAACAACAGTCTCCTGGCAGGTGTTTCCTTCCCTCCCTCCTCGCGCGCCCCTCGCGTTTCTCTCGCGCCTAAAACCCCCTTTCCCTTCCCAGTCAAACACCTGCCACACAGGCTAGCTTGTCGGCTGAAATTGCTTTTTGGTCTGATTCAGTTGATTGGTTGGACGCGTCCCTAGTTCGACGTCAGACCAGACAGACTCTCCTTCAGCTGGGAGAGGCTATCTCTTCGACGAAAGAAACCAAAAGCCTTAATGATGTATAAAACCATGAATGACCTTGCTCCGGAATATCTACAAAGTCTTTTCTCTCAGCGTCACTCTGCTTACAACTTAAGAAACTCTGAGGGAAGGCTCACCCTGTCCAAACCAAGCACCAATTATTTGAAACGAAGCTTCTCTTACAGCGGGGCCATGTTATGGAATAACTTGCCCAAAAACTTAAAAAATGCTGCATCCGTTGAGCATTTTAAGCGAAATATCAAGAAGGTAGCTGATATATCGGATTCCCACACGGCAATCATGTAAAGCAGTTGTAATTAGTTTTAGTTTTAAACTTAAGCTTAACTGACGATTTACCGTGTTTGAATAAAGATTTACATACATACATAAGATCTTTATTTAGGTCGACCCAAATAAGAATTTTGTTCGTCTCATGAAAAAATTCGACGTTTTGCCTAGGCCGTAGTGCAACGCAGTTTGAAGATTTTTTGTTCATTTAAATTAAAGCAAATGCGTACGTTTAGGACGGACTATTAAAAAGTTATGCGGGAGGGGAGGGGAGCCGAAGCAATTTGTTTTCGTTATCAAATTCCCTGTGTGATTTTAGCATGTATGATTTTAGCATGAATATTTTTCAGGATTTATTGGCGAGAATAATTTTGTTTTTTCATTTAGTTTTCCTTTATATTTTTTTTACTTCGGTCCCCCCCCATATAAGTTTTCTAATGTGTCCGTCACTTATTTTGTGACAACTAGCCTTGTTACAAGAGAGCAATCAGTAAATCAGGCTCTGTAACTGTAATCCAAAACACTGTTGGATTCTGGATTCCATGCCGTGGATTCCGGATTCTAGGGTTTTAAAACGAGTAAAGCTGGGATAAGAAATTAAAACTGCGGCGGCAGATGTTTTGTTCTGATAGTGGCGATTTATCAGGCTTATTGTAATGAGCCATTTTTAATTACTCACCAGCGACTTGCCTTACAATGGGCATTCTCGTCACATAACGAGCTTGCTGATTTATCCACATGACAAAGCCAAAAGACGCGATACTGAAGCCAATCATTACACCAACGAAAATGTTTCGAAACTTGACAACTATCCTTGGCAACATGGTGGATTCTGTAACCGAGAAAACCAATGCTTATTTAACCAATGTAACTTGAAATAAGGGTCTGATACGATTCCTTTTGTTAGTGGTGTATTCTGAGACTTTGGAAATTAGCGTAATCTCCGAAGTCCTAAATGACCGGAGCAACTTTAAAAGAAAAATTGGGTGGTCTGACCATTAAATTCACTTACCCTCGTAAACCTTAATATCAACTTTAAATTCTCATTAGTTATCAAGCAAATTCAACTTGTTTGATCATGTCCTAGATTCTTGTTACCACTCTGTTTTATTCCGATACATTATAGAAGGAGAAATTTGTTGCTAATCACTCTTAACTAGAGAGAACGAGATCATTCTCTTGCTCTTAAGGCTTAAAGGATTTAACCTCTCCAGCAGCACGCGGTACCCATATGGCCACATGCGCGCAAGAAATCAGGGTTTTCAGTAAGTGCCGGCAACCGGCTGAAAAAACGGCTACTTTAAAGTATTAAATCCTAGCTTTAAACTTAATGAGAACCTTGTGAAATAGTTACAGCTTCCTGACCCAGGCAATTCTCTGTTGTACGGACACCTACGAGGCAGTTCACCGTTCTGACGTTGCCAACTGCAATACCTCAGCTATATAATACGTACACCGCTGTAATGAGAACACTTGATGTTTGCTGTTTCTTTTTCTTTGATGCCTGTGAGGTG